TGTGTGTGTGTGTGTGTGTGTGTCGGTGGGACTGGCGATTCATGTTTTGCTGCTCATTCAGTATTGTCCCACAGCGCAGCATGCCAAAAAGGGTCCCAGAGGACACGATGAGGTCATTGTTGAAGCCTCAGTCGTGACTGCTTTTACAACGGTTTAGCATTTCATGCTCCAAAATAGTTCTTTTCACTGTATGGGAATGTCGGCCACAACATGAGAGGTCTGTTCCTCATACCTGAGCATATACAGGTGTATGTAATGTATTAACGGTCATCTGTGTTGGGTGCTGCTCTGTCATTTATCTGCAGTGTTTGGTGGTCAAGGAATAGTTTATTTTAAAGCATTGAGTTTTAAGCCTTTTCAAACCTAGGCTGTGTGAGGTACTGATTTTAAAAACTCTCCTAACTTCATGAGTTCTTAAAGGATAGCGTCTTCTCATCTCTGACCTGTAGTTTTACGTATAAGTAACATAATCATTTCCACATTTATATGCACTTTACATATGAGTAACATAATCATAACCACATGTATACTTGTTTTTTTACACGTCTTTTCCTTATGAGGACACTCCCTTGACCTCATTATCCCTTAACCCCAACCACCTTCAAACTTGTGCCAGGGCTTTGTTACTGTAAACCAGACCTGTGGCAAGCTCGTCAGACATTGAGAAGGCTCAGTGTTCCAGGCCTGTGCTGTGTCGAGGTTGTCCTGTGTAGATTTACAGCTTGAGGAGCTGGTGAATATTGGATGTGAGGCCCATCACTAAGCCTGACTGACACTCCGTCAGGCTCTTTGTTGAGGACATGGGTGGAATTTCATCCCCTTGGAAGAGCAGCAATCACAGCCAGTAACAGAGACTTCACCAGGCCAGCTTCACCTGAGTTTACCTGTCATTAAAAACTCCTCACCTTGCTAAAGCACGGACTTTGCTCTGTTGTTATGGTCACAAATCCGTCACAGAGTTGTTAAGAGACTGGTGGTTTTACTGCTTGCACATATAAAACACATCACTTGGAAAAAACCGAGCTGGCATGCAGTGTGGTGGTGGTTTTCAGCCACAGTTTATGGCACAGCCGTCCCAGCGGCAGTTTATCTGTTGCGCATTATTCGATCCAGTCCCTGAGCAGCAATAGTACTTGCTGAGATTGCAGGGACGTCACTTGTTTACGAGGACGGAGGTATCCTAACACATGTGTGGGATGAGCAGGTTCACATGAGAGTAAACTGATCTGGAAATGTTCACATCAGCAGGAAAATGAGTTGAGGAAACCCCTCCACTGAGAAGTAATGCTTCCACAGGAAGCCATTAGGACAAACCAAAGGCTCCGTGCACAGGGTTTCTCCACAGGAACTTCCTACATACATAACAAGCCGGACCCTTCATAGGCTAGCTGTGCTCTGTCCAGACTGAGGAGCCTTAAATGTCTGAACAATGGTGACGATTGTTATAACTAGCCTTTTGGTTTTTTTTAGCCACTTCGTCTATAGACTCCAATATGTTTAATGTTTCATTTAAAACTAAACTTTATTCCTCAATACACAAGTTATTTATACAGTGAAAATGTTTATGTTTTATATGTAATCAAAATTACTTAAGAGACCACTGAGAAACAGTTATCCTTGTCAGGAATGTGGAGTTTTGTATGTGTGATCAATGCAGGCTCATAAAGCTTTTAATCCTGACACACTTTATGGAGCTCTGTGGTGAAAATATCTCTGAATGAGACAAAAGTCACCAAACAAAATCAGTCTAATCTCACATCTGCTTCCTCCGTTTTCTCCTCTGCTCTGCCGAACGTGCAGTGTGAGCATCCAATGAATTAGGATAACAAGTCATTTTCATTGCTCCACAATGTTTACTAAAGAGCTTTGAGGCTTGGAATCAATTAGGATTGGCTTTCCTCAAGTCCATTTACTTTAGGGTTGAGCGGGGCCTACAGCTGTGAAACCTGAGGACCTCTCTCTCTCTCTCTTTTTCTCTCCCTCTTCCTTTGCTCCAAGTCCCTAAACAAGGTCTTCGGGGAGCCGCTCTGACACAAACCAGTGTTAAAAACCAGGCGTAAGAAAGAGCCAGCAGATCTTAATGTCACGGCTATCATTATCTTACAAAGGGAAGCGTCGCTCAACTGATTTGAACGCTCTCTGCTTTTCATTTATAAACATCTGGCATTGAGTTGTATCAGAGTTAAATACGTTGGACATTACTAGTCAACCATGTGAGATACAGCATTGTGTGGAAACCTCAACCTTTTTTACTCGTTCGTGGAGACGTGTGTAGGCACGAGGAATTAAAAAAATCTTCTATTCCGGTGAAACAGGGGAGTTTGTTTCCATTACGTAGACCAGTCAACCTGAATGCAGCTGGGTTACGTGAGGATTGGCTCCAGTGCAGATGTGGTAAAGCATCCGATCATCAGTTTATAATATTTCAATACCATTTTCAATTGTGTGCATGAAAACCGGTGCTTTTTAGAGACTGTCTTGAGCAGTTTATAATTAGCAATTCCTAAGAATGGAAACTAAATGCATTTAAATCAAGAGTTTTAAAATCTGAGACTGTGGTCCTCCCCTCAGAGAAACCTTGGAAAAGAGTTCCCCTTCACCACACCTTAGTTTACTTGCTTGGTTTGGCTCAATTTCTCAGTGCGATCATGATCATGTTATTTCATCCCATTTAAACTCAACAACTGAGTCAGATAACCAAATATTGCTGTTTGACGTAACTTCAGACAAGCATTTTTTAGTTTCTGAGTCTGGGACAATCCAGAAAAACACATTTAGGCTACTCTATGATAATTTTGATAACTAACTAATTAATTTTTTTTAACTTCCATTCACTGAGCCTTCTCTGAAACTGTTTGGACCCCCTGAGAGAGGCCCACCTCCCACTTTGAAAAACTCTGCTCTAAATCACTGAGTGTTGATGCCGTCCAAACGAGACAGTATTTCTCCTATATTCATAAACCCAGATCTGTTCCAAATAGAACTCTTTATCATTTTACTCTTGTGCGAATGTGACAATTTCTCATTTGTGGTTTGGTATATTATGCTGTCAGTGCTTTTGTCTTTCACCTTGTTTGTGATGTCCTACCCTGGATACACATTGTGTGCATCTGTGTTTGGCTGTCCCATCAATGTGCAAAGCTGCAAAGGAAGTCAATATTTGTGGTTTCTTTTCTCATGCCGCTTTAAATGCACCATATTTTTCACACCTCAGAGCCACCATCTTCTTGTGGTCCTTGTTTTTGACTTTAAGGGAAGTTTCACAAATAGATATGGCTCTGCACGCAGGCCTCTATACATGTAAGTGCAGCCCAAATGTAGAGTGACATATTTGCAGTAACCTTCATGTGTTTTCTCAAGATGGTTTGGTGATAAGCTGATTGATCAAAAAGGACCACTGGGTAAAATACTATATGTGGGATTATTCCTGTCAAAGAATCAGTTTGACGAAGCTTGATAATGTTTATCTTTGCTCGATACAGATAACAATCATCATATCAGTCCACATTCATTGCCAGATATGATTCCTTGATCTTTCTAAAAAGAAAAACTACATTTAATTGGCACTGCTTAAAAACAAGAGTAATGTAATTTTCATGTGCAAATGCATTCTGTGCATGGTCTGTCACAGTACATCTAGACACAGTAGTTCTCTCAACTGTTTACATACAATAGTACTACTGCTACTACCCTGATGCAATTGATTTATTCCTCCCTTGTGTTATTTTTTATGTGTTTTGAGGATTTTGATCCCACATTTTTAATAGATTACATAACTTTTTCTTCATGTGTCTGATATAAACAACTGTGTTGATGTGTACGCCAACTGCACTAGTGCTAGAGCTGAGAGAGCCCCCATACCTAAATACACAAAGTTATGGGCCTTCCATTCAACACACTGACCTCCTGAACTTCACAAGTGAAACAAAATTTCCTTTATTATTGTTTATGATTAGATTGCATTCAGAAAGTGGTGCTAAGGAGGGAAGTCCGCCCTGAGTGCACGAGCACGTGACCTCTACAGAATGCCTGAGGTGCCCCTCCAACCTGACCCTTCCCCACAGGCCAATGTAGGCAACTGCTCAACCATGTTTAAATTGTAGGAGTCGTAGCAGGTGGAGAAAACATATGAACAAATACACAAAGGTAAGACAAAGGTATATACAGTGTAATCAATTAGAAAGAAGGAAGGAGAGAAAAAGAAAGAGAGCGAATGCAGGATGTACATCTGACCTGAATTAAGATGAGCTCATTGTGTACTGCAGTGGGTTTAATAGTGCGTTTGTAGAGGAACGCCCAGACTCTGTTCCCTCTCATTCCAGCGGGGCTGTGTCATCCCTGCCCCGGGGCCACCACACATGCAGGCTCAAGCACAAGCAACTCACACACAGGGACATGCATCGCAGCTCTGGGGAGTGCGGGGATCACAGAGTGGGGAAGTGTGGAAAAAGGGGATCAGAGGTGCACAGAGAAGAGGAAGAAAGGGATCAGAGGTGGATGGGGGAGAGGAAGAGGGTGATAGGAGGTTGATGGTGGAGAGGAAATGAAAGATCAGAAGGGTGGA